TTCCTTACAATATGTTAAATCCCGTGATTTTGGTGTACTATGGTCACTTCACTTTCTTCTTCATTTCACTCCATTTTGCACTCCATCTCCTTTATTAAGTGCTCAGCTGTGCAAGCGCACACCAGCTTTATCCTCAAGCTAGAGGTGATCAGTGGTGCGGCGATGAAGAAAAAAACCGTGAAGGACGGCACATGACCCTGTACTGAACCGTTCCTTGCACGTTGATTTCCGCATTGACGCGGCTTTTATGGGTGCTGCTGCTTTCAGCCTAACGCTCTCTCTGAGACCGGCGAAGAGGGTCAGCCAGTCTATGGGCGTGCCAGACGTCGAGGGGGTGGGCGGGCGGCGGCGATGGCGCATCGGGAAGGGCCACGCTATGTAAGTCTCGGAGATAAACCCTCCCCTATGAATTGCTGGCCAAAGTATCCAAGGCAGGTCTGCTAAATCTCTCCACCTCTCCTCTTCTCCACCTTCGATCTCATCGAAGAGTCCTCCTTTGAGGAACTTTCTCCTCAGCTTAGTGATTCACTGGAAACGATGGTGTCACATCAAGGTACCTTACAATTGCCTCGTAATAAACAACATAATAATTGGTAAAATATATCATATTTTGAGAACTACTTTTGGAATGAATTTTTATCGATATTCAATAATGAATATGAGTACTGTAATGTGACAAGGGCTCATAGCCATAGGAAGAGGTCAATGGAGGTGCTGGTGAGGACAAAAAGCTCACTTTTTCCACTGTGCTTTTGTTTCCATCATGGAGACCATTTTCATTCATTTCGTTGTTTATTGGGTTTGTTTTGTTGTTTATTTACTTCTAAGTTGGAATTCCTCAGCTTTGCAGGCATTCTCATGTGTGTTGTGCGTTATGAGTGTCATGGGACTGACACGTAATTGTTTGTTTAGTACTAGTTGCTAAGAAACGCAGGCTAGAAGTATTTGAGCGGACCCGAAAGAGCGATGTTTGCCCTTATCTGTGACGCATAGAACATGGCAAGCATTCTCAGAACGGCTCTCAAATTTTGTAGGGTATATTTGGAAAAATTAGCAGCAGGAGGCCTTATTTGTCCTTCAAAGCTCCAACAGGCCCAGAAAGTGCAAGAAAACTTTCTTCGAGCAAAAATTTTGCAAAATTATTTCTTTTTTTGCCATCTGAATTGAATAAATAGCTTTCCAGTATTTCGATTTACTGTTGACTTTACAACAGGCAAATTTTGAGAAGTTTCAAAAAACTTAATTTTTATACTCAAATATATTCGAGTTCGAAGAACGTTTCGGCTAAGTGGTTCAGTGGATGTCTCTTCTTCTAGTGTTTTACCTGGTGAGCTTTTTGCCCACCCCTACCGATTTAGAGTTAATCCGACCTTGTTGAATTTCGCAATAGGCATCTACACATGTGCGCATTAAAAAATTAATAACTGAAATAATCAATGTTCCATAAAAACTTAGCAATTGACCAAAAATTGTATGATTGTACTTGGTAACTAGCTCGTGATTATTACCAGAGCTCCACTAAGAAATTGACATAAATTTTACTTTGTGCGTTCTCCTAAACCGCACTAAAGTTTCAAAAACCCTTTTACTTCATTACTTTTATCCCTAAACCTTAATTAGCGGCGCTGTGCTCTCAAAACGGTTTATAGATAGGGAAAAACTGAATTATAATTTACAAGAATGCTGGTCATGACTAAAACATTCGCCCTAGGAGGACTCGAACTCACCTCTATTATTTAGTAAGGCTCTGGGCGGAAGCAGTACAGTGGTCAAAGGCGCTGCTTACCAGCGCACGGTGTGCGAATCTTTTAGTAACGTAGCCTTGCCGGCCCTCTACCCATTCCATCTCTGAAGTCAGTTATGCCATTTAGACTTACTTGGAACGTGTAAACCGAACTCTTCACTGATTTTATTTGGCTGTTCCAAGTCCAAGTCATGTGTAGGCCCACCCTAATTTCAAAATATAAATACATATTTTGAATGGAAGTAGATGCATGGCGCATCCCAGGCAGACTTTGGTGAGCGCCCGTTGATTTTGGTTTTTGTTCAATTCAATTTTTGTTTTGTTTTGTCGCAGTTTTGTCACAATTGAGTAGGAACAAGTTGCCGGCAAGTGTATACAATGTAACCAAACGGGGTGCCGACAATGAGAACGGCGAGACCAGGGAGCAGAAAGTCAACGTAGAAGGGCAATGGTCGCCAACACTGCAGGCTCAGGGCAGCAGGTATACAGATTTTCTCAAATTCGGTCAAGAAAAGTTCCTGTTCTTCTGATCATTCAGTTACAGTAACAGTATCAGCAGGAGCACCTAAAATTTTCATTTTTTCGTTTCCCTATGGGGAGTAACCATGGGAAGTAATCAACAGGTAGACCATGGGACAATAGAACAGCTTTTCTTTTTAGAAATCTTAACAGTCTGAGAGTGAATAACTTACACTTGCATTCGAACAGAAGTGGTGCAGTGGCAAGTGGCGCCGCCAAGCTCGTGCACTGTCCAGTCACGGGGATCAAATCCTGGGTCGTGAGTCGCCCGGGCCAACCAAGCCTTCCATCCCTCCGGGGTCGGTTAATTGGTACCAGACTTGTCTGGGAGGATAAAAACACTGACTTGTACATCGGCTGCCCCCGCAAGTCATGGTCAAGATGCCCCTAAGATTCTGAGTAGAAGTATAATTCGTGGCGCATCCCAAAGAGGAATTTATCAGCGCCGAATTCTTGTTGGAGCAGTGACTGACCTTTCAATCACTGCTTCGTGCCCTATGGACACGGGGGGCACAGCGCAGCTCATGTTTCGTACCTTATCGGATTTCTCATAAATCCTACTCGCTAAAGCCTTCGAAGAATTTGGTTATTGTCCTAAGGGTATTTTATAAGCCGCATAATCGCGCAAAAATTAGAATCGCTCAGAATAGCAACATTCAAAGGTCTAGAAAGATAAGCCTTCAAACGCTTTTTGCACCAGATCTTTGTTCTCAGCCCTTGCACAACTAACGCTGTCCTTCGATAGTTCCTTGGCAACGGAGTTGCACTATGTAAGAAGAAGGATGTGCACAACTGCAATTTCATTGTACAAATACCGGGAAAGTAGGGCAGACTATTCAGCCCAAATCCTCTATCTAGGGGTTGTTCTATCACAAATTTCACACTCACTTTTGGAGCTAAGCGCTAGAAAAGATGTCAAATGCCCCCTGCGCCAAAAATTAGTGAGGTATTCGTAACCAGAGCCCTAAGTAACACTATATCCAAGTTTGGAACAAATTCGAAGCGTTTATCACCAAATTCCCTCAAAATTTAATGTCATTTTTACGATCAATACGGGGGATGACCCTGCATGCGGAGGCTTCGCAGAATTTTTTCCGGAGTTTTTTTTTGGGTTTCAATAGTGCAAATGTGCCCAGGGATGCTGCAGGCTCACGAGTGATTGTTTCTGGGAGGGTCACGGGGTGTCCTTTCTTCTATGCTATTAGGTCTGACCACAAGTTTTCGGGCTGCGCTCAAAAAATGAAATATCGGCACGGAAACCTTTTTGCATTATTTCATAGAAAACACTCGACCAGATTTGTCGCCATCCTATTTGCATCTCTTCCGATCAGCCGAACACTTTTTTAACGAGAACAAACGTCAAGACATTAACAATCTGCGTCGAAAGTTGACAAATTTCCTGAATCAGGGAATGTTGAGTTCTATGACGTAACATCAATTTGTCATCAGAGAAATGGCAAAGTACACTCGATTTCAGTTGATTTCCAATAGCGAATATTGCAATAAATATTGCTATGTAATTTTTGCTACTTTCTGTAACTTTCGTGTTTCTGAGCTCTGTTTGGGAACATAGGTTAAGACCTAAGACCTAGACCTGCAGGACCCCATCCCTTCACTGAACGACTTTAAGATTCCCAATCTTTTCATGCCCTTTATACAGTGCGTACCAAAAGTATGTGGACACCCTAGAATCGATTCTCAGGAGTCAGCTAAAGGCTTTTGTGTTATGAAACCTTCACCATTCAACTCCTAGTGGTCGATAACCTACAATGACATTCTCGGCAAAAGATTTCGTTCTAACTTAGCGAACTATTTTTCATGGGAAAGTTTTTTCTTTGTATCAAAATTATGTGGACACCCTGAGGCAGATGAAGTTTTTGCATCGATTTCCTAACCTATTTTTTACTTCTCCTTTCGTTACTTATTCTGGCATCATTCCTCTTCACGGCAAGCGTTTTTCTGAAGAAGACCGAGCACAGAAATGGGATCCCCATGCTTCTGAACCTTCCTATTGCGAAATAGCACGTCAACCAGTCATGCGTCCTCGTAGGTTTGGAGAGAAATCCGAAATCCTGATGCTAAGCTCTCGACCTTGACTGAGGGTTGTTCTCAATCGCTACTTGTTCAAAACAGGAGAAGAATAGCCTTAATTTTCTCAAATTATTCTTTTCGTACTACTCAACTTTACGCATAAATGATCTTCCCGATCTTAAAAAAGACCAATCGGTGTCTCATTCAATCAATTGAGCACACGACACGAAAGAAGATGAAGAAGGCTTTGTATATGAATGCGGGTTCAGGTTGGCAAGGTTGGAATTCCCACCACTCAAAAAAGGATCACAACATGATACTCGAACCCACACAGACAGCGCTTTCGTGGAAATGGTAAAATTAGTATAAAAGACTTTCTGTGGAAATTTCTTCATAGACCAACTCGACTGGCAGAAAGAAGCTTATTCCTTACTATTCGGGTGGGTCTTGAGGTTTTTGGAGAGACTTTGGTCGGACCCGCAGATGTGCTCGAAGAGACAATTCGGAAGATGTTCATCAAAGGTCTGGGGTGGTTCCAAAAGGAGGGGACATTGAAGTTTGGCTTGCCAACATGTCAGGTAGACGACTAGGATTATAATGAGGTGCTTGAGTCCCGGCTACAACCTTTTTCGAAAAGTCATGGTTGCAAATCACTTGTTTTGCAGGGGAGGTCCCTGACACCATTCCATTTGGAAAAATGCTAAACGCAACGGCTTTGATTGGCAAGTCGGCTAGCGAATTCCTCAGACTTCATCCTTATTGACAACGTAGAGGTATCGTGGTTCGCGGTCTCTACATCATTGAACAAAAGAGTAATATCACAGTGACCTAACACGTCGGTGAAATTTGCTAGTTGGGAACAAATCTGCAAGACATGTATCCAGACCCGGTCATGTAGCATTCATAGCATGCCAAACAGAATGGCTCAACTTACTAGAAACTTTGTTAGGCCTACCGCTTCCTAATTTTGAAGATATTGCCGTTTTTCAAAAAGTGTCCACATAATTTTGATACAAAGAAAAAACTTTCCATGAAAAATAGTTCGCTAAGTTAGAACGAAATCTTTTGCCGAAAATATCATTGTAGGTTATCGACCACTAGGAGTTGAATGGTGAAGGTTTCATAACACAAAAAGCCTTTAGCTGACTCCTGAGAATCGATTCTAGGGTGTCCACATACTTTTGGTACGCACTGTATTCACTCTACTTTGACGGTTCGATAGCACTTTTCTCCAACTGGAACTGTTATGTAGCACTGTGCATCATAAATCAAAGTCCCATGCAAAATCTCCCCACAATTCTGAACGGAAGCAGGGTGCGTGGCGCATTCCAGAAGGGTTGATGAGCGCTAAAGGCTTTATTGGTTCCGTTCAGTCAAGGGCTATAATATAAGTCAGAGAAGAACCTAGACCGCTGCAGAACCCCACCTTTTCCTTTCCACATCTGCTAAATCCCGCTGATTACCGCTTGATCACTAGAAAGCTAAGCTTCTTTACCTGGTCATCTACTAACCTTGTGCTGGTTGCTCGGCGTTAATCAACCCTTTTTGGGATGCGCCGTGCACCCTGCCTCCATTTTGCAGGCGATTTAACCTCCACAATGACTTTCAGGGACCAGCCGGTGTGCACATTAATGTTTTTATTCTCTCGGACATGTCTGATCAACTACTCGGATCCGGGGAATTGAAAATTTCGTAGGCACACAAGTTGCGCTACCAGGACTCGATCACTGGACCGTGCGCTTGGTAGACGGCGCCACTTGCCACTGCGCCATTCAGCCACGCAACATAGTAAGTAATTCCAGCACTCTTCTGCTCCTCTTTGAATATTTTCCCTGATAGCTTAAGATAAGTGATGTTAAGTGCTTTTTGCTCAATGAAAGCGTTCATGTGTTTCCTCGGAGCAGCAGCGCTTATTATAGGATTAAATTTAGTGTTTATTTACTGGTGTTTAGACTGTGTAATGATAAAATTGCTATACGTCATCCACGCTAATTATCAGTCATTCATTCTTTCGTCTTTTCTCTGACGCTCCCCGCCATCTCACCCCCCCCCCGCTCTCCGTGCACACCCGTTTTCTTTCCATTTTGTCGTTTTCTCTCCACCTCTCACGCTCTCCGTCGTCCATCTCGGTTCATGGGGGCCCCGCATCGACTGCGTATTTCAGCCCGTGTATTGCCACTTGCAACTCTATCGTATTGGTCTTTTTTTGGATAAGCAGCGCCTGTTTCAGCCCATCTATTTTGCTGTGTATTTACAACGGAAACAGGTATCGTCTCGATTAAGGACAGTTCATATTCTTACATGGGCTATCCTTCGTGATATATAGACATTCTACACTTTCCGAAAATCTGTGATGACTAATTATTCCGAACCGCTCGTCACTACGTCATCCCGATTCCATTCGCCAGCCATTTCATTGTTCAAAACACGGTCCATTATGTTGTTTACATGTTTACATGTTTACTAGCACCTCAACAAGCAACATTTTGTTACTGCAACCCCGCACATAAACATACAAATCATCCATCCATACACACAGCTGAGTGCGTATTTTTCAACGATTAAACATATTGTTGAAAACGAAAGTTTCGCTAGTCCATTTCAAGGTCATTTCAATCGATATATTTTTTATTATTAATATTTCATTTGTAATCCACAACGTTGTCGACAATTTTACATGGTATCTTTCTCTCGTTATATCTCTCACATTCATCGAACGCTCCCTTTCACTTGTGGTGTCTCACTTCACTGAACGCATCACACCCCCCCCCCCCAGCCTGGCCTTTACCCCTTGCTTGGCACACGCGTGTTGTTTCATCGGTGTTTCCCAACCGCTAATGTTTTGATAGTGCGAATATCATTTTACATGTTTACTCACAGCTATTGTACTCGACAAATTTTGCCAATTTTTCATTTTTTATACCGTGCTATTGCTGCTGAATACATACATGCTTTGGGGCGAAATCAGTCCAGCATTAACGTTTTATTTTCTACGCGCACATTTTGCACGAATTGCACGAAAATTCTGCTGTACTTCAAGAAATTTAGTTGCATTACGCCTGTAAAATTTTTTGGGTGCAGTACTAGGGTTCCTTCACAGCGCTTATTTGCAGTGCCATTCAGGCCAAAACAGTAGTTTTTGGAGATCAGCAGCAAGGATGAAATTTCATGTTCTTAGCACAGTGTCATCACATCCAGTTTTTCCTGATTCAATAAATCATTCCTACGCTTCTATAGAATTTATAGTCATAGTAAGCAAACATCAAATGATCCTTGATCTGCTGCCAGGAAATCAATCAAATCGTTATCAATCAATATGTGAAGTTTGATAGCCATATTGCGGTTAGTATTGTTTCTTGGACCTTGGGCGCAGGTGTAGTTCGGGGGGGGGGGAATAGCTCGTCCGACTACAGTAATCCCATATTCTACTGGGCCTTCATGCAAAAAGGAAACTAGGTGATTATTGCTTTTGCTGAACGTATATAATAAAAGAAAATGTTTGCAATGGCCTCAAACTCCCTGGAGCTCTCCACCACGTCCCCCCCCCCCGAACTAGCCTTCCCCTTACTAGACTTGAGACCTTCTCTGAACGATCAGTGGCGATCGCTTTTTCTGTGGTGGTAGAGTACCATGGGGTTTTCCCCCAATTTATCACCAAAACTCGTTCTTCGTGCTATAATGGGCATTTTCTGAGTACTGTCAAGTACTGCATAGCTCGGTGTTACTGGTACTGCATGCTTTGTTCATGATATGTGCCATCCTAACAGCGATATGATCGCTGATGTTGTGCTCATACGTCAGCGAACCTGTTCGGATCCGCAAGAAGCGTATCTCGAATGTTTGTTGTTTGCCGGGCGAAACCGGCACGTGAGATCCCTTAACGTCCCCCGATTTCCAGTCCCCTCTATGTCTTTTGTTCTTGCGTTGTTTTTCCTATGTGTGAGTGAGTGTGTGGGTGAGATACTCGGGTAACATAAGCTGATAACCAAAACACGCTGCTGCTGCTGCTCATGCTGTTGCTGTTGCTGCTGCTGCTGCTGCTGGTGCTGCTTCGTCATTCAGGGGGAGGCCGAGCGCGCTGTTTGTGTTATCCCCTCCACCACGAGTTTGATCTTTGCTTCATGTTGCATTCGCCTCTTACGATCGCATTCTCCTTGGCACTAAATGAGTACAATGCGATTTCAGATTTGTTTGTTTTGCAGCGCCATCATGGCGCTAGTTCGCGTCACATGTTTCCTTATCTCATGTCGTGCTGTTTCAGTTGAATACAATTCCAGTTAGCTGAACGTGCGCCTTCGAAACATTTTTTTTCAATCCACATTCCATATTGTTACTCTCAAAATTAATTTCGATTCATAACATGTGACCTTTTGCGCATTTTATAATTATGAATATCATTCGCTGCTTTCAACACGAGAATTCTCCTCTTTTCACTTCCAACTTTCTTCTTTGACGTCACACCTTGGCCACAGCGCGGGACACATATGTACCGCACTATCATACGGGAGCCACTCATTTTGACCAACTTGTGCCTCCGTTTTCATGTTCCAAAACTGACCGTATCTATTTTAGGGTGGCGCAATTATTACACTTTACCAGTAATGTTTTTGGTAAAGTAATTACTTATGAAACATGTTTAAAAAGTGTGTAGTAATTACTTTCAGTGAGGTTTGTTGAGCCGCAACCAAGATTTATTCGGCCAACGTTTGGCCTTATCGCCTTGATCAGAGCCTGGAAAGTCAAAGATAAGTGCGATTTACCCCCCAAACACCATTTCAAACTTCAAGAAAAGTCCCATAGACCCAATGTCTGTAGAAGTGTTATCAAAGTGTGAAGGAGGGGGGGGGGGAACTTTGGTATAGAGCGTCCAACGTTTGATTTAAACCCTAGTAAGCACCTCTTCTATTATTACCTCTTATGAAAACTTATTCTTAATTAGTTTATTTTTGTCTAACCTAGTCAGCTCATCAACCCAAGAGCTTCCTCACCTTTCAAGAACTGCGATTACTGTAGTCGACACCCCGAACTTTGCAAGCAATATGCCCACTCCTCCTTTGTCTCAGATAGACCTATTTTTTTGGTCTTCACCATTGCAGGAAAGATTTATGATTCGAGCGCCCGTTGATGAAATGATTTTTCGTGGCGTGTCTGCATTGCCTTGACATTTTTTCGCGTATTTCGGTCTGTTTGGCCCAAGGAGGCGTGGTTGTCGAGTGTTCTGCTGTTTTGCCCTTTCGCTTGTGTTACTAGATATCTCGCTTTTAAGAGCCCGTGCTCGTCAACTATTTCGTCTCATTGAAGATAAGACTTTTTGAGCAACATTTGGCTTCTGTCGTTTATGATGCGCTGAAAATAGGAACATGACTACTTCAGCGCCACGACAACGTCATATTTGCGAGTTACTACTTATCCGAGCCATAAGTAACTACATCTTGTTTTCAGATGGATTTTCTTAGTAGTACTTCCATACTACAGCTCTCACAGTCATCATCAATCGATGAGGTGCCAGCACAATCAACAACGGAACCTCAAAGTTTAGAGAACATCGAGAGACCATCATTATCCTACAAAGACCTGATCATTGAGGCCATTGAAAGCAGTCCTGATAAACGTCTCAAGCTCAATGAAATATATCAGGTAAACAAGTCAAATTTCAAGACTGTTTTCAAAATTTTCTATATTACTGCTCTACGAGTGCGTGTGCTTTAATTTGACCCTCAAATTTTCAACTTGAAAATATCAATTTTGGGCCAACCTCGAGCGTCTGGCTCTAGCACTTGTTTAGTGTAGTACACTTCTGTAGTGCACTCTTACTTTACTGTCAGTACTGCTACAACAGCAGTAGCACTTTCGAGGAGGTTTGGCTTAACGAGGGCTAATAGGACTCTAGTTGGGGCCCATACCTCCATCCACCTTTTTCCTGCCTGAAGGCCCATAGTTGGAGGGGCGAGAAGGGAAGGGCTAGGAGGTAAAAAAAAATCATGCCTTTCTAATTTCGCGCTCAAAAGTTCACGAAATCCTCGCAGTTTTTTGAACTTTTTCTGATGGTCAAAGTGATTTTTTTGAAAATGAAAGTTGCCCCCTCCTCCTTATTGAGCCTCACCTGCTCCCTCCGAAAAGCCCTGCCAGTTCCACCTCACATGTTCCTTATCCCTCCCCTTTCCCAGAGAGCCAAATTTGCCCACCCAATCCTATCCAGGGATCTTTTTGGTGCTGGCTCTTCGTGGCTGAACTCCACCGCATATATAGCCCATTATGCATAAATTTAGGTTATACCCTCTATGTTATGAATCCATAGATCTCAGAGTATTAGAGCGGTTTGGGGATGGATGAACAGCGCCAAATGACCCCTTTTAATCCATCATGGTTTCAAAACTCGTGTTGTTGTATCGATTGATTTTTCAAATTTAATATTTCGAGGGTTTTAATTGGATGTGGAAAATTGTTACATTTCGCAATATCACAAGTAACCGCATGTACACACACAGGCGGCATCGGCGGTGGGCTGTCAGTCGGGGCAGCTGTGCTTTGCGAGCATTCCACGTGCTTTGTGTGCAGAAACCAAACGATGTCGAGTGTGCGCGTGAGAGAGAGGCAAAAGAGGCAGACCAACCACGATGGATCGCTATGACACGGCACAATTTTGCATGTTTTCAGTATTGATGAAAAGGGTAAACAACAGCGCGGGACCGACATAAGGGTGAAATGATTTAGATGTAGATAAAGCACTTTTCAAGGACCTTATACTTAGCCATTGGCCTGAGTGATTGAACTATGTGTCAACACGAGGACTACATATGGACGGGGATGGCCGAGTGGTTGAGTGCGCACATCTGCGCCCGTGAGTGTCGCGGGTTCGGTCCCTACCGCGTAGGGTGAGCTGACGTCAAGGATTTGAGGGGTCGTATTTGCCTTTCCATGGAAGGCGATCATAGTGGGTGGAATTGGAATTGTGTTCCTGTTTCCCTACCATTCTTTCCAATTATGTTCCTAGGAACACAATTTAGGGCGCTATCGCAGAATACGGGGGCATTGTGATGGCATGTATTTTTAAAAGCGTTAAACATGTCCTTTTGTTAAAAACGGGACTAAGCCTTAGGCGGGGGAGAGAGACTCCAAGGTGCGTGAGCCATTTTCATTTTCCCTGAAGCTCCTTCCTCTTCTAGGCTTAGTCCTAGAGGATGCCCTCGTATATTGCGATAGCGCCCAATTAGGATGTAGTAGGGTTTTTGGCAACATTTGTGTGCAATTTTCAGGAATTGTTGAGAAAAGGGGAGTTTAGCTACAATTTCAGCATTTTTTCGCTGTTTCTATTGCAGCATATGCCCAACGAGGGCGAAATTGATGTTGTGGCATGGCGCAGCTGCGAAAGCGCGGTCCAGAGATCAAGTCTGAGGTGTGCGCTGTCCAAGTTAACCAAGCCTTCTATCCTCCCGGGTCAGATAGTTGGGAACAAAGTTAGTGGGATGGAACAATGACTTGTACATGGGCTTGCCCCCCGTAAGTCCTTGTATGGGCTCAATCGCATTCAAATGTCTCCACGAATCTGAGTCGAAGTAGAATGTGTGGCGTATATCGAAGATGGATCGATCAATACCGGGTCTCTATACTTTAATGTATCTCCCT